AGATCTTTAGATGTTTAGTTATTCAAGTAGCTAGTTGGCTAGTTAGCTACTTAGTTAGTGAGTTAGCCAGCCCTTCAGTTAGTCATTTTTTAGACAGATCGTTCGTTAGCTAGTTCGTTCGGTAGGGGGCCCGCCAGTCAGCGAGTCAGCCAGTCAGTCAATCAGTCAGTCAGTCAGTCCGTCTGTCAGTCAGTTGTTTAGTTAGTTATTTAGCTATTCAGTTCTGTAGCTAGCTAGCTAGTAATCTAGTTTGCTATGTTGTTTGGTTGTTAGGTTGTTAGGTAGTGGTGGTAGGTCGGCAGGTCGGTAGTGAGTTTGTTAGTCAGTTCCAGAGGGTTCGTTAGGTAACCAGTTAGTCTGTTAATGGGTGGGTTTGACCGGTTGGTTAGTAAATTTGTGAGTTAGTTTGTTGCCAAGTTAGGTAGTCATGTGTTCAGGCAGTTAGTTCGCTAGCTGATTAGGTAGTTAAGTCGTCAGTGAGCAAGTTTGCATTGCTTCGCATGGGAATCCATTGCTTTGCGTTGCAGTGCTTTGTGTTCGTTTTCAGTGCTTTGCTTTCCACTGCGTTGCTCTGTTTGGCGTATCATTGCGTTGCATTGCGTTGAATTGCGTTGCGTTGCTCTGCGTGGCTTTCCAGTAGTCTGCATTGTTTTGAGTTGCTTTGCAATTAGTTCGCCGCCTGAGCTGCAGCGCGTTCATTGCGCCACCTAGATTGCATCTCGTTGGTTGCATCAGTCAGACCGCCCCCCCCTTCACAGGCTGCAAGGAGTAAAACACATACATTACACAGCAAACATTGTACACCATATACTGCACACCATACATGGTCCCACGTCTATGCGCCGCATGTATGCGCCCACCAATATTGCACCATATATTTTGACAGAAGCACACGGCTTGGGTTTCACCCCGTCTAACACCAGTTTGTTTGTGGGCTAGGTGTGTAGTGAAGACAGGAGGTAGGTGGCCATCTGGCTAACTAGGTCTAGCTAGCTAGCTCGCTAGCTAGCTAGCTAGGCCGCCGGCAAACTAGCTAAGGAGTTAGCTAATTAGTTAGTTAGCCAGTCGGTTTGCCAACTAGTTCGGTAGTGATTTAGTTAGTCGATTAATCAGTCTCTGAGTTAATTTGCTTGTTGGTTGGTTGGTTGGTTGGCTGGCTGGTTGGTTAGTTAGTTGGTTGATTGGTTGGTTGTGTGGTCGGTTGGTTGGTTGTTGTTTGGTTTCTTGATTTTTTATTTGTTTATTTTGGTGAATAGCGGGTCAGTGAGTCACTTGTTTGGTTGTTTTGCAAGTTCGTTAGTTGCTCAGTTTGCTGATGCGTGGGTGAGCGAGCGTGCCAGTCAGTCAGTCAGCCTGTCACCCAGTCAGTCAGTCAGTCAGTCAGTCAGTCAGTCAGTCAGTCAGTCAGTCCGTTAGTTCGTTCGGTCGTTCGTTTGTTTGTTCGGTCGTTCAGAAGTCAGTTAGTTAGTTAGATAGTTATTTAGGTAGTCAGTTAGTTAGTTAGTCAGCTAGCTAGCTAGCTAGCTAGCTAGCTAGCTAGCTAGGTAGTTAGTAAAATAGTTACTTAGCTAGCTAGCTAGCTAGCTAGTGAGGTAGTTAGTTGGTTAAGTAGGTAGTTCGTTATTTTGTTAGGTCGGTAGTGCGTTAATTCGTGACTTAGTGAGGTTTTTAGTTGCTTAGTTTGTTGAACCGGTGTTACGTTGGTTAGTTAGTTAGTTAGTTAGTCCGTTAGTTAGTTAGTTAGTTAGCTAGTGAGTTAGTTATAGAGTTAGTTAGTTAGTTAGTTAGTTAGTCAGTTCGTTAGTTCGATCGTTAGTTAGTTAGTTGGTTAATTAGTTAGTCAAGTAGTTAGTTAATTAGTTAGGTAGTTAGTTAGTCAGTTACTTAGTTAGTTAGTTAGTTATTTAATTAGTTAGTTAGGTAGTTCGCCAGTTCGTTGGTTAGTTCGTTAACTAGTTAAGCAATTAGTTAGCCAGATAGTTAGTTAGGTAGGTAGGTAGGTCGGTAAGTAGTTAGTGAGCTAGTCACTTAGTTAGCAGTTTGTTCGTTAGTTAGTTAGTTACTTTGTTCGTTACTTATCTGTTTATGTATGTAGCTAGCTAGTTAATTGGCTAATTAGCTAGCTAGTTAGTTAGTTATGTAGTTATGTAGTTATTTAGTTCGTTAGCCAGCTAGTTAATTACTCAACTAGTTACTTCGTCGGGTAGTTAGCTAGCTGTTTCATTTGTCAGTTCGTGAGTTTGTTTGCTCTACCTGATCTGGGCGCCCCGCCTAGTTGCAGCGCGTTCTCCGCGGCCGCCCGCTTCCCGCCCCCCTCCCCCCCTTCCATGGTGCGCATTTGTCACGGCGCGACGCGTGTAGGCCTGCCCGCGCGGAGCGAGCGCCCGCGCTGCGAGAAACACATCGCACAAGCCATGTGCGTGTGTTTCACCTATCATTGCCAGGCAAAGCCCCCCCCCCCCCCAGCAAGCCGACCCCTCTGGTCATTTGGCCGCGTCTCCGGGGGAGGCGGGGGGCCGTCGCGCATGGGGTTCAGCGCAGGCACTGGGCGCGGTCTCGCCGCGCCCGAGTGCAGTCGACAGCGTCTCGCTAGGCCACTGGGAACGGTGTCGGGCCCAGTCAGAGGCCCAGCCACCTACAACCCAGCACCAGTAGGGCAAACAAGGATACCTATGAGGGGCAATAGCGGGGGAGGAACGCGAGAGGGTTGAGGAGGAGGAGGAGGGGGGGAGGAGGAGGAGGAGGAGGAGGAGGAGGAGGAGGAGGAGGAGGAGGAGGAGGAGGAGGAGGAGGAGGAGGAGGAGGATGAGCAGGACGAGAATGACGATGACGACGACGATGATGACGTTAGTGATTACAGTGGCGACGACGACGATTAGGATGCTGATGACGATGATGATGATGGTGCCGATGATGATGATGATGACGACGATGACGATGCTGATGATGATGATGATGATGATGATGATGATGATGATGATGCTGATGATGATGATGACGATGATGATTGTGTGATGATGGTGATGATGCTGATGCTGGTGATGATGTAGCTGGTGGTGGTGATGACGATGCGGATGAACATGATGATGATGAGGAGGAGGAGGAGGAGGAAAACCGGTGTACATCCAAGACGCATCCACGATGTTGCGATAAGCCCTCACTCCAACTTCCCTCTTCATGAGCCCCACAAGTATTTACTCTCATTGCGTGAGTGCCATTACAAGACAGACGTCTGATAATCCTCAGCGGACTTCAACGCCGCGAGCCAGCGTGACTGCTGTGTCCTGACAGTCCAGGAGCGTGCCCGAACACTCTTCCTGGGACCCCCCAACGGATCAACGTGACAGCTGCGCCTGGGCAATCTTCGAACCGAGACAGGGCACATTCTTGGGATTCCAACCCCACGAACCCTGGAAAGCGTTGCGACCTTTGAAGTCGAATTCCTCCTCCTCCTCCTCCTCCTCCTCCTCCTCCTCCGCGCGGCGGTGATGCGAGAGCCACACGTTTTGAAGAAGGAGCCGCCCATCCATCCTCGAAGCGAATGTAACCTTCGAAGAGATTGATGTGCGCAGTGTAAGGCGAGAGCCCCCTGTCTAAAACCCGCCGATCTCCGTCCTCGAGGTCTGTTGCAGATGTCAGGCGCGAGGATCATCACCGGCGAGGAGGTCTGAGGCGAAGCGCCCCGCCCGACCTGCTGGTGCACGCCTGCGGGATGCGACAAGTGTGGCTGTTTATGAAGACGAGGGATGGGGTATGCGGAAGGCATGAGGATGAGGAGGGGAAGGAGGAGGAAAAGGAGGATGATAATGAGGAGGTGGAGGAGGAGGAGGAGGAGGACAAGGAGGAGGAGGAGGACAAGGAGGAGGAGGAGGATGAGGAGGAGGAGGAGGAGGATGAAGAAGAGGAGGAGGAGGAGGAAGAGGAGGAGGAGGAGGAAGCGGATGAGCACCAGTGTAAACCCAAGAGCCATCAGCGATGTTGGAATACACCCTCCCTCCAAGCTTCCTCTTCATTGGCCCCCACAACGGTTCATTTCCATTGAGGGATCTGCTTCGTTGGAATACAACTGTTTGACGACCAGGAAGCATGCCAAACCATTGTTCCGGGGATTCCAACGCCACGGATCAATCTGATTGTTGCGTCTTGGCGATCCTGGATGGTGCCAGGACGCCGTTCTTGGGATTTCAACACCGCGAAAGAACGTAACTGTTGCACCCGCAACGTCCAGAACCCTTCCAAAACACCACTTCTGGTACGTTGATGGCGGGGATCCGTGAAACTCTTGCAAATTTGAATGCGCACGGCGCTAAGACGAGAGCCACATTTTGGAAATGAGCCGCCCTCAATCCGTGAAACGCTTGCATTTTTGTAGAACGAATTTGCGTGGCGCTAAGGCCAGAGCCACAATCCGTGACGCTTCTGCAATTTTCAAAGGGAAGGCGCGCGGCGCCAGGGCGAGCGCCACATTTTGAAAACAGGTTATCCTCAATCCGTGAAGCTCTTGCCATTTGTTAGAACGCATGGGCGCGGCGCTGAGGCGAGAGCCACGGTTTGAAAACCGCCCGCCGTCCATCTGTGAAGCTGTTGCCCTAGAACTGGCCCCGCGGGATGCGACAGTGAGAAGTTATGTATAAGGAAAAGGAATGGAGGAGGAGGAAGAGGAGGAGGAGGAGGAGGAGGAGGAGGAGGAGGAGGAGGAGGAGGGGAGGAGGAGGAGGAGGAGGAGGAGGGAGGAGGGGGAGGAGGAGAAGGGAGGAGGAGGAGGGAGGAGGAGGACGAGGAGGACGAGGAGGAGGAGGAGGAGTAGGAAGAGGAGGAGGAGGGAGGAGGAGGAGGAGGGAGGAGGAGGAGGAGGAGGAGGAGGAGGAGGAGGAGGGGCAAGGTACCATGACGCTGATGCAGAAGATCAGCTGTCCACTCATTGACCCAACCTTCCGCCATCCAGTAGCCGCGCCACAGATATGGTGAGAGGTACGGGGAGGGGGCGATCGGGGCGCCAG